ATATGGTCAAAATTGGGGGTTGACCAAAATTGGGGGTTTGACCTATACCAAAATAGGGCTCAAATCATGGGCCAATTAACCTTGGATTTAGTCTAGTTTGGGCATATAAAAAGTGAATTTGAGTTTAAGATTGAAATTGGGGTCAATTGTGATCAAATTGATGGCATTTGAGTTGAATTTGGGGAAATTTGGGCTTTTAAAAGAAAATTTGGGGGTTTTTATCAAAGATGGTCAAATTGGCCAAATCGGGTCATGCGATAGTTGAGGAAAATGAAATTGGAAATTCTTTGAGAGGTTTTGGGAATTTTTTGGATTTTAAAAAATTTTTGAAATTTTGTGCCAAAGAGGGGTATTTTGATAATTTGGAGATTTTGGGTAATTTGGGGGAATTTAAGGGCAAAATGGTATGTTGGGTATCTTGATAGAGTTGGATTGCCAACCACCATAAATAAGCCATGGATCAATGGAAACCCCATTTTGGGTCATCTATGTAGTGGTCTTAGCTAAACCCTAGCCTGGGGCTAATAGGTTTAGAGAACCACCTATAGGAGTCTCCCAAAAGTATTAAGGGACCAAAGCCTAGAAGTTCTGGGTTTAGGGTAATGAGTGATTGTGAGTGCCAACAAGTGCCTTAGCCCTAGACCAACATCCAGGGTCAACCCTAAGGTCCAACAGTCCTATGGGTGACTCATCTTGAGTTTCCCCCATAGTGACCCCACCTACTAAGTGCTAGAGGTTAGGACCAATATGTGGAACTTCAAGTTGAGTACAGAAAAGTTTGAAATTTCTAATGGTGAGGGTTCCTTGTCTAGTCTTCTAAGGATAGTCAATAGGAAAGTCTTATGGCTAGACCTTAGACTACTAAAGAGGAAAAATTGAACCTCAACCAAAAGTGAGGTCAACAGATTATTATCAATTTTTTACTCACTGTCACTTTAAATTTTGTCTTTATTGTTGTTGCTAATATCATTTTCAGCCCCATCGAGATTTTATATGATATAAGAATTGTCATTATGATCAAAATGAGATTGATTATTTTTTTGTCTCATCGTAATTTAAAATAGCAAAACATAACTGAAATCGTGAATCATAGCATTAAACGACCCCAAAAGGATGAAGAAGAAGTCGTACAGAGTCAGTAAACTGAGGGATTTCTCCCCCAAATTAGAGAACCAATCTAAAATAACAAGCATGGGTAGAGAGAACAAAAGGAATAACAACCTTTATAATAGATTGAAATCAAATATTTCAGATTTATGAAAATGAGAACTTTATAATTATTATAGAAAGGGTATCTACATATAAAAAAACATTGAGATTAAAGCTAATCTCAATTGTAGTAAATGGCTCTCTTGTGATTTTCTTACAAGAAAACTTTGGAGTATGCATATAATGTCATTAGCTATCACATAATATTTATTTTGAGGTTTAGACTTTCCAAGGATTATAATTATGTAATGTTGGATTGTTATTATATTTATAAAATGCTCTTTTTTTAATGAAATGTTTTATCTTTATTTTATATTTTCTATATGTTCGTAATTTTTTTTATTAAAATGCTTCAAATTATTGGTCATATTTTTTAAAATGATGTGCAAGATGATCATTAATGATTTATCAAAGTGTAATTTAATTATAAAATTTGAAAAATAAAAAAAGAAAAAGTTTTATATTTATTAATATTCTTTGAAAAATATGATCAAATATTTTTAAATGATTCAATATTATGTTGTATATAAGTTTTAATCATATTAGTTAAATAGGTAATTACCTAAAATAATCCTCTCAGCTTAACCATGGAATTAAAGACCAAACTCTGGATTAGTCAATATTCTTTATAGTGCTCGGAAGAGGGTAAAGAATAGGATTGCTCCTATTTGGCACAAAACAGTTTTTAAATATATTTTTCAAATAATTTCAATTTCTTCACAAGTTATATTTTCATTGTAAAGGAGAAGGGTGTTTTCTCATACTTAAACTTTTTATCAACAAAAACATTTAATTTATTTGAGTAATTTTATTTTTGAAAGTTTAGCATCTAGTTTAACTTAACTGTTGTAGTCCCATCTGCATATTTAGTAGCATTTCACTTTATTAGTTTAACTTTGAACTTCGTACTTTACTTTATTTTTTTTTATTTTAATTTAAGAATATAATATAAATAGCTAGCTTATATATATTTCCAGCTTCCCTATGGGATCAATATCTAGGACTCCTTTAGAGCTCTGTATTATTTGAACGATACGTATACTTGCGTTATATGTAAAAGGGAATTGGGAGTTTAAAAGAGGTTTTAAAGATAAATTATTTTCAATAAAGTTACATTATTGTTTGGGTTACATTGCATATTTATTATTAATTTAATCCCAAGTTTCTGCACATCAAGTTTTTGGCGCAGTTGTCGGAGAAGCTCGGAAAGTATTAGTTATTTTATTTTATTTTTAAAATATATAAAAGAAGAGTATTTGTAGTTTAGTTTGAACATTTTCTTGTTGAAGTTTGTTGCTTATTTTTAATTACTTATTTTATTTTATTTATGCGTAGTACAAGATCTGAAAACTTAGTACCTTATGATTTTGAATTAGGAAGGATTGTTAGAAAAAATTGAAAACAATAAAAAGAGAAAAATCATTCCAGCAAAATGGCTTGCAACTCAAGTAATGCTGGAAATGAAAATGAACATCATCAGAGAGCTTAAGGGATTATGTTAATCCTACAGCAGATGAAATTCATTTGATTATATAAAATCTTGCTGTAGCTGTCAATTCATTTGAGCTTAATTCTGTTATTATCCAAATGGTACAAAATAATAAGTTTGGGGGAAAACCAACTAAAGATCTTAATTTACACCTTGCCAGTTTTCTAGAATTTTGTGCTACATTTAAATATGGAGTGTCGAATGATGTTACCAGACTTAGACTTTTCTTTTTTCACTGAGGGATAAAGCTAAGATGTGGTTAAACTCATTAGCACCCGAATCTATCAGAACCTAGGGAGATTTATCACAAAAAATTTTATCTAAATATTTCCTACCTTCAAAAATTGTTAAGCTTATAAATGATATTATATCTTTTTGTCAGTTTGAAAGGAAATCAATTTATGAAGCCTGGGAAAGATTTAAAGATTTCCTTAGGAAGTGTCCACACCATGCATTGCCAAATTGGTTAATAATTCACTTTTTATAATTGATTGGTTGGATCTCTTAGATCGATAATTGAATCTACTGCTGGTGGATCATTAATGTTAAAACCATTCGATCAAGCATATTCAATAATTGAAGAGATGACTACTAATAATTTTTAATGACCCTCAGAAAGGGTAAATAAAAAAAGAGTAGCTAGTATTCATGATTCTGATGCAATATCTATATTAGCTACTCAAATAGTCGCTACATCGAAGAAGATAGTGTCGACTTCCATACGGCTGGGTGTGCTATTTAATTTAGCGTAATATAGTGTTTATAAATTAGGTATTTTAATTTGAAGAAAATGGGGTCAAACTGATCCCATTGATTCCTACATTTTGGATAATCGAGCTAACCACGAGTAATGTACCACCCTGAAGGATAATACAATACTTGATAATAAGCTCAATTAAATAAACTATAAAAATAAATGACTTCCATTTGATCTGCAAGTTTGCATAATGACCGGCAGATTCCCCTATTCGATATGGGAGTCAAATAAGGTTTATTTTAATTCTGGGTTCTTTTAAGTTTCCTATAAGGACAAGCCTCAACAGTTAATTACATCTTAAGCGAACAGATCACTTAAGAAAACTCTTGATAAAAATCAGGAATCTTTTGTTTTCATGCTTTTGTTTTCATGAGTTCTCGAAAGGAAGGGTTTTCAACAAACATGATTGTGGAGTTTTCAATAGGGATTGGTTCAAAAGTGAAAAATTTTATTTTAAGAATCAAATGAAGAAAAGTAGGGGAGATTAAAGATCCACGGTAGGTTCATGGTAATCCCCCAGACTATCTTAATGTTTGGCTCATTTTATAATGATATTAATTTAAGTTAACTCTTGTCAGTTTTCTTAATTAGGACTTAGATTTGTATAATGGTGATTTACACAAAAAGCCTAGAAAGATAGAAGGTTTTACATTGAGTGACTACCTCATAATCCTAAAACAAGTTAGGTCATGCTGCATATCGGGATTATGCTGGAGCTTAAAAAAAAAAGAGGTTTTATGTCATAAAAGACAACCTCAAAATCCTAATGATTGTTATTTAAACTAAAGAATGGGTCTTGAACGAGCTGCCCATGAGTTTGCTCCAAGTTCCATACTGAAGTGTCTTCGAGTCTTTAGGTCTTC